CATGCGTTTCTGTTCTTTCAGAATATATTTTTCTTTGTTTTTTATTATTCTTTATTTAACTCTTTTTTTTTGTTTTTTTTATTTATAAACTCTGCTTTGTACTCTAGGGTTTAGGGTTTAGGGTTTAGGGTTTAGGGGTTCAGCTTGAGGCTAGCAGAAATCCCGCAGGGTGCCGCTATACCGCTTCTCTAGGGTTTAGGGTTTAGGGTTTAGGGTTTGTTGAGTTGTAGTCGAAAATAGCATGGGAGGCTGTATTGAGGGTTTAGGGTTTAGGGTTTAGGGTTTAGGGTTTAGGGTTTAGAGGATGCTCCGGCCCCGTCTCGCTCCCGCAGTTCTGCGGCGGGCTTTCTTCAATAGCTGCAGCAGCAGCTGCAGCAGCAGCAGCAGCAGCAGCAGCAACAGCAGCAGCAGCAGCTGCAGCAGCAGCAGCAGCAGCAGCAGTAGCAGCGCGACCAGTGCGGTGAACCGCTACCGCTTGTGCTGCAGCAGCAGCAACTACAGCAGCAGCACCAGAAGCATCAGCAGCAGCAGCAACAACAACAGCAGCAGCAGCAGCAACAGCAGCAGCAGCAGCAGCAGCAGCAGCAGAANAGCAGCAGCAGCAACAACAACAGCAGCAGCAGCAGCAACAGCAGCAGCAGCAGCAGCAGCAGCAGCAGAATTTCCTGTGTCTCTAGAGGCGAAGGGTTGGGGTGTATGGGCAGCTCAACTTTCAGCTGTTGGCGGTTTTTTCATTCTCACAGCCCCCCCCCTTCTGACGACAAAAACTTAATGTAAACCCTAAACCCTAAACCCTAAACCCTAAACCCTAAACCCTAGGTGTTTTAGAGGAGTATATAAATCTTTTTAAGGGTTTGAGTTTATACTGTAGCAGATATATTTATACACTGCTTGCTGCAGCAGAAATAGAGGGTTTAGGGTTTAGGAAACCGACCCCCCTGAACAAACCCCAAACCCTAAACCCTAAACCCTAAACCCTAAACCCTAATTTTTGAGGGTTTGTGTGTTTTTAGTTCTTTTGTTTTTGTTGAGGAAGACGGAACAGAAACGGCTGTAAAAGTACCAGAAGGCTGCACTGTCTTAGAGGCAGCGCATGCAAACAATGTACCCATAGAGGGTAAACCCTAAACCCTAAACCCTAAACCCTAAACCCTAGAGTATAAACCCTAAACCCTAAACCCTAAACCCTAATTTTTTTTTTTTTGTATTTTTCTCCGTATTGATTATATTCTGGTAGACTCGACTTAATAATTTCTAAACTTTAAATTTTAGGGTTTAGGGTTTAGGGTTTAGGGTTTAGGGTTTAGGGTTTGGGGTGTATATGCAGGTGCATGTGAGGGTCAGTGTTCGTGTTCTACTTGTCATGTTATATTGAGTGATGAGCTGTATAGACAGCTGAAAGAAGCAACAGAAGAAGAAGACGATATGTTGGACCTGGCTGCTTGCTTAACTGACACGTAAACCCTAAACCCTAAACCCTAAACCCTAAACCCTAAACCCTAATTTGNGCTGCTTGCTTAACTGACACGTAAACCCTAAACCCTAAACCCTAAACCCTAAACCCTAAACCCTAATTTGGGGTTATATACGGGTAGATACAGCAGAAATATATAAACACTACTTGTTTTGTACGCAATATACATAAACCCTCTAAACCCTACATTCTATATTATAAACCCTAGATAGCTAGCTATATCTACCTATCTAAACCCTAAACCCTAAACCCTAAACCCTAGTATGTTATTTACTTTTGCTAGAATACGTTCCTTCATTTCTCTGCATTTCTAAAACCCTAAACAATCTACGTTACAGCTTCTCCCCCAAACCCCAAACCCTAAACCCTAAACCCTAAACCCTAAACCCTAATTTTTCAAGTGTAAGGGTTTGTGGTTTCAGGTCAAGACTGGGTTGTCAGATTCGTGTATCTCCAGCATTCGCTGGTGAGAGGGTTCGTCTCCCCCCCATAACCCGAAACTTCTTTGTAGACGGCCACAAGCCGTCCCCCCATTAGGGTTTAGGGTTTAGGGTTTAGGGTTTAGGGTTTAGGGTTTAGGGTTTAGGGTTTTTAGTCTCCAGCTTCAAACCGCTTTCCTAAGGTGTATGTAAGCACTCCATACACAACAGCAACAGAGACAATGTAGCTGACGACAAGGCCGATGACGAGATACGCCACCCAGCTTATTCCTGCAAGGGTTTAGGGTTTAGGGTTTAGGGTTTCTAGGGTTTAGGGTTTAGGGTTTACCTGTGGGGGCCTGCGGCAGCTGGCTCCCTATCAACTCAACCCCCGTCACCAGTGTTGCTGCAACAGAGCCAGTCGTCAAGTATGTGAGGTTTAGTCTTGCTCTGAGAAAGGAGACAAACAGCTTCGAAGGGTTTAGGGTTTAGGGTTTAGGGTTTAGGGTTTGTAGTTATAGAGATATAGAAACGGGGCGCTTACAGGGCTTATATACGCGGGGATGACGTTCTCTGTGAGTTCATATATTATTACAACTATCACAATTTCAGATAGATACCCAGCTAGCTAGCTAGCTAGCTAGCTAGCTAGCTAGCCATCCATCCATCCAGCTAGCTAGCTAGCTAGCTAGCTAGCCAGCCATCCATACAGCTAGCTAGCTAGCTAGCTAGCTAGCCAGCCAGCCGTCCATCCAGCTAGCTAGCTAGCTAGCTAGCTAGCTAGCCAGCCATCCATCCAGCTAGCTAGCTAGCTAGCTAGCTAGCTAGCTAGCTAGCTAGCTAGCTAGCTAGCTATAGCAATGAAAGCTTACCTCTTCCTACAAGAGAGACGATGAGATGGTTTTTAACAAACATCAAGAGGAGGCCGTCGTGGCACTGTCTGTTGCCTATCGCCCAGCGTCTGTGTTTTATATTTTTATTGCTGCTGCTGCTGCTGCTGCTGCTGCTGCTGCTGCTGCAGCAGCAGCAGCAGCAGCAGAGACAGAGACAGAGACAGAAAGAAAAGAAAAAGAAAACGCATGCAACGAACTCACCGCAGCAACTCGGTAGCCATCTTATCTGCTGCTGTTTGGGGTGTATCTGCAGCTGACACAAACAAAGAAGGCATCACAGCCACTGCTAGCTATACAAAAAAAAATAAATAAATAAATAAATAAATAAATAAATAAATAAATAAATAAATAAGTGAATAAATTAAATTAATTAGATGAAATACAGATAAGTGAAATAAACAAAC